CAGTATTCTCGATTTAAGGCATGATGTTCGTCTGTCCTAAACTCTTTCAGATCAGCTCTGATTCTATCCGCCCACCTCATCTTTGGTCTTTCTCGTGGTCTTTTTCCAGCGACCTCCAGAGACATGACCATTCTTGTGATGCGGTTCTCATCTCTTCTGCTCACATGTCCGTACCATCGCGGTCGTTTTTCCTGCATTTTCTGAACGATGTGAGCAACTTTCATCCTTGCACGAACTTTGTCATAACAGTGATCTAGCAGGGTGATGCCCACTGTACACCGCAGCATTCTTGTCTCCATGACACTAAGCTTGTGTTCTTCATTTCGCGTACTGAGCCAACATTCGCTGCCATACAGCGTGTGGGAGTCGGATCACAGAATGGTATATTTGGGAATTGAGTTGCACTGGCATTCTCTTGTCGTATAGAACTCCTGTAAACGTTCTCCATTTTATCCAAGATGCGTTTGTCCTGGCAGACATCTCACCTTGAAGACCTCCTTCGCCAGAGATACAACTTCCTAGGTACTTGGAGGTACTCGCTTTCTTGATTGGCTTCTGATCGATGTATATGATTTCTGAAGTTTGAACCCCCACTTCCATATATTTTGTCTTCTTTGTGTGAAGCCTTAAGCATTCCATCTCTGTGTTTCTTCTTCAAGCTCTTTTCTGTTTCCTGCCATTAACAACACATAGTCTGCATACAGGAGAGCCCATGGAAGCTGTCGCTTGAGACTTTCCGTCACTGCGTTCATGACTGTGATGAGGAGTAGAGGAGAGAGCACCGATCCCTGATGCATGCCGGTCTTTATGTGGAACGGTTTTGACTGTCCTGCCGCGATTTGAACATGGCTCGTGGCTCCATGATAGATCATTTTTATCCTCTGGATGTATACTTCTGGAACCACGCGCTTTCGCAGTGCCCACCATATGATCATGGGGTACCTTGTCGAAAGCTTTTCCATATCAAGGAAAGCCGCATGCAGCTCTCTTCGTTTTTCTCTAAACTTCTCCATCACTATCCGTACAGTATCCGTACAGGATTGCGTCAGCAGTACGACACCCTTTACAAATCCGCACTGATTGGATGGCAATATGATCGAAGTCGAGTTAAGTACTCTTTCGAAGATCTTCAGCGTGTAGCTCATCAGCTGGATTGGTCGATACATTGAACATACTACGATATCGCCTTTATTTTTCCATATCGGAATCGTTGCACTCTTTGACCAGTCATGGAGCTGCTCTTAGCTTTGAGACCTGATGGAAGAGGCCTGCAAACCATGAGGAACCGAGCCATCCGCATTCTTCCCAGAAGTCGCTTGGTATGTCATCTGGACCAGAACCTTGCCGTTCTTTGTACTTGCTATAGCAAGCCATACTTCCTCTGTATGAGTCGCACTTGTCCTTTCATAGGGTCAGCTGGTGGGATAGCTGTGCCACCGCTGTAGACGACATTTCTTCTAAGTATTAGGCTGAGGAATAAATTCGTAGCGTTTTTTTT